TTTATCAATAATATATATTTCATCTAAACAAATGCAAAAGATATACAATAAATTATATAAAACATATAAGTAACTTTCTTTTATTATATTCACTGAAAAAATAATATTTAGAAAAAAGAATGATATATAATATATCAAAGTAAGAATTTAAAATAATAAATATACATGGATTATAATATTATAAACAAATATAATAATAAAAATATAAATTAATAGATCAATAAGTAATCAAAGATAATTAAAATAAAATAAATAAACATAATCGATAGATAAAAAAGATAAATTAAATGAAATAAATAAATACTACTAATGCAGAGATAAAACAAATAAACAAAAGTATTTCATAACTAAATATAAATTAAAAGAAATAATTAAATACGGTCAGTACATAATTAAAAATAAAATAAATAAGATCCGTAAAATTAAAACTAAAATTAAATAAAATAAGTAAACATGTTCAGTTGTAAACGGATATATATTACAAAATAAATAAGAAAAAACTATGTGTAACTGAAGATAAATTAAATAAAAAATAATAATTAAAAATAAGTTAAATAAAATAATATGTAATTCAAAATAAATAAATAAATGAATAATACAAAACACATGAATTTATTAAGATTAATATAAAAAGAGCTTAACATCTTACTCCCTTATTGACAGGACAGCCAATAATACTTTAGCTTATTATTAATATAAATTAATTGATTGACAGGACATCAATCAATTTAAGAAAAAAAGAAAAATAAAATAAAAAACAGATTCTCTAGGTTAAAATTTGATTGAAGCTACAAAACATGTACAGTACTCAATAAAGAAGAAACCAGACTGAAAAATTTATGACTGGAGGCAATGATCTTGTTTCCAATGGTGTGGACACCGAGGGATAGAACTCAAGGAGCAAGGTGCAGTGTCCTCAGCATCGTGATTTTTTTTAGGGTAAGGAACGCCCACAACGGAGAAAGCAAAAGGAAGGAGATGAATCTTTGCGCAGGATAGAAGACCAAAACGAAGGAGAAGAAGAGAACGATCGCCATGTCATAATCTCTCAAATTAAATAAAAATTCCACGTAATAAAATATTTTGACATCAACACATTAATTATGCAACACGTCAGCACCAACTAACGCCGTTTGTTACAATTTAACGGTTAGGGTAAAATTTGTTCATTTTTACAAAAAATATGACCCAATTGAGACAGAAAAAAACTTGAGGACCCAACTGAGATTTTCATACAAACTTGAGGACCAAGGGAGGGTTTAAACCTTATATTTATTATAATATAGTTAGAGTTGATTTAAAAATAATTTCAGAAATATTTAAAAAAAATGTGAATTTTAATAAAAATATCAATATTGAATTTATATAAAAGTTGAATTTCATATCAATTTGGAGAGGGACAAAATTGCTTTATTTAAAAGAATAAGACTAAATTGAATCAATATAAAAAATATAAAGACTAAATTAAATATAAGACACTAACATGTGATACTAATATTGACATGTGACAACATGACATGATACTAACTTGAGAGGTGAATTCTTTTAGAAAAAGTAAAGAAAAAATGAAAAAAAAATAAAAAAAATCATAACCTGGCAAATGGAAACCTTATTTACTGTGTCATTAACTATTTAAACGATGTTATAAAAAGTGACTAAATTAACAAAAATTGGAACTTTATTGAACAAAAGAAAAGGAATACATTGAACAAACTTAACAAAAATAGAGACTAAATTACTATTTAAGTCTAAGGGTGTCAAAACGAACTAGTATGACCTATTTAGGTTCGAATTGACCTTTAACCTATGTTAACTTGGTTCAAACTTCGATTCGGATTGACTCTTCTAAATCTTTTATATTAACTTTTCTGGATGGTTGGTCTTTACTGACTTGTTTTGATGTTTGGTCCTAACTAACTTGTCTTAACATTTGATAGAAAACAAACTACTTGTCTCGGATTTGTCTCGACATTTGATCAAGATCAATTTCACTTGACTATAAGTCTCAAATGACTCAACTTGAATATGTACATAGATATTCAAGCAAAAATTTGGAAATATTAGGCCGAGATCAAATTAAGAGTTAAGTATATAGTTTAACAAGAGAAACATTTTAATGAAAAAAAAAGTCGAGTCGCCCAACTTTATTTGGAAAATGAATAGCATTCTGAAAATTACCAACACAATAGAGAGAATGATAGAAAAATAAAGTATAATAAGAAGAGATAATTATTCTTAAACTCATAAACCCCATATAAAGTTTAATTATAAATAAAATTAAATTCCACAATTGCCTCCCGGTCCTCCAAAGTGAACAACACTTTCCTTTTGAACCTCTCCGTAATATTTATCATGGTAACCAACATCATAACATTTAGTATTGTCAGAGAAGTGTTTGGTCATAAAAGATTCAGGTGTATAAACAATTAATGATGCACCTTGAATCTTGGGAGATCTAAAATAAGATTCATGGGTCCTATTTCCATCAGGAAAATGCCCAGATCCCATTGGAGGACTACGACCACCAACGTTGGCTTTTGTTCTCCCACCCCATCCTACGATGGATGCTGACCCTAAGTTCGAGAACAATGCTGCTGGATAATATCCGATGTTTACCTTTCCTGCGCTTATCCACCAATTTTTTGTCTTTAAATCCTAAAAACACACCTCAACTTTTCTCAATAGCATGTCATAAAATATTTCAACTCTTTAATTATATTTACTTAAAAATGTATTTAGAAAAGTAAAATGGATACTAATAATGCATTTAAGAGTCATTCAATTTTAGTCAAAGTGAAAATTTAATTGCATAATTATTTACCTGAGTAATAGCCATGTAAGCCTCATAAGTCGCGCCACCGTAGGTAGATGTGTCAGGGAAATATCCACCAGGGAAGTTCTTCCTGTCAACCTGGACAAAACCTCTACATGCGGTATTGTAGCATCCTGTCTTTTTGAAGTTATCGGACTGTAAAAGTTTTTAGCATTGACTTAAATTTAAAGAAATGGAATATTTGTAGCATAAAGATATAAATAATGATATGTTACTGCCGTTAGAACTTAAAAAACTGTTTTAGAATTGATAATGTATTAAAAATTATGAGATATGATTGTTTAAATAATAAAAGTTTAAAGTATAAATAAAAGTTTTATAAATAGAGTTTTATTATTTCAAAACATTATTTTTTAAAAATCTTTTTTATAAAGTTTTTTTCATTTTCTCTAGGTTTTCTCACCAGCTGTTCTTATGTTTGAAAATTGAAGAGTGCGTGATCTTCAAAGCGAGCTCTTCATTTTTGTCTGATCAGTTTCTTCATTAAAGTAAGTTACTTTTCCATCATTTTCTTGGTTTGTTCGTTCTTTTTTTGCATGTGTCCTTTTTTTGGCTAGTATGTAGTGTTTGAATTCTTTGTTAGTCTTTGTTGATTAGTGAACTTAATGGTATATTCTGATAGTGTTTGTGTTGTTTCTAGGGACACATAGAGCTTTATGCGAGCTAAAGATGTTTTAAGAGTTGTTGATCAGTCTAGTATGTCTCTTAGGTAAGGAAAATTAATTGTGTAGTTTCATGTGATTGATAAATTGTAATTGATAATTGTATGGTGTTTTTTCTGTATGATTGATTTGTGTGAATAAGAATTAATGAGTGGAATTGAAGTTAGGTTTAGAAATTGGTTTACTTGAATTGCATGATGAAATTGAGAATGATGTATGATTGATATTGTAGAGGATGTTATTTGAATCATTGAATGTGGTTTAATTTGAATTAAGCATCTATGTTGGTTGTTGGACTGAAATTACAAGGCTGGACTGGCATAAATCTACATGATGCAGAATTATGTAGACTCGGTGGACGAGAAAATACTTCTTGGATGAAAAGTCGGAGAGTTCATTAACTTGAAAGTGGTTGGGCGAGACAAGTCTCGCTAGGCGAATTTTGTGGGAATTTAAGCCCCAATGATAATCTCGTTGGGAGAGCTATGTGGTCACTTGGCGAGTGTGCTTTTAGGCACTACTCATTGAACAAATATATATTCTTATTGAACAAGATTAATAGAGTTTAACACTATGTTCATATTTTTTCTTCTGGTATATTTACATGTGTGATCTTGTAAATGTTAATATGATGGCGGGTTTATGATTTTATGAATGGTTGGAACCAATCTAAGGAGGATTAGTAGTGATTTTGTTAATGTATGCTTTGACATATGAGGGTTAGAAAGGAGGCATCCTGAATTCTACTAACTATTTATACTTAAAAAGAGTAGAATAAGTTGTGTTAAAAGTTACATGAAATCCTAATCACTGGACTATTGACCATAGACGCAAAGGAGACTGACCTTCTTAATGGTAGGGTGATAACCCTTTTGTTTATAAATATGTAGAGCATATATAACTCATATAGTTTTTTACTAGATGTATGTATATTATATTGCTATAGTTATGATAATGGATGATTATATTAATATTTTATATGTATTTAATTATTTGTTTTGTTTGATTAATTTTATAATGTTTTATTTAATAGTTTTATTTTATCAAATGAGTGTTACCCGAATAAATAAAATTAATTTTATTTAGAAAACTTAATTATAATCTTCTATTAAGTGTTTATTATATGCAAGACACAAACATTCATTTGTCTTAGAGACAAAAGTGAAAAGAATAAGAAAAACCCATACCTAAGATTTATTAAAGTATATTCTCTTCCATGTTTTAGTTCTATAAATTAAATTAGGATTAAATAAAATATAATGATACGTTTTCTTACCGTCCATGATGTATAAAAATGGGTCCTTGCATCACCGTACATTGATGGATGTACCTGATATCAAAGTATGAAATCAATTAGAAATTTTGTTATGTTCGATTTTATCTGTTTTTTAAAATTATTTTCATAAAAACCAATAATTATGATATTTTTTCTTTACTATAATAAAAAATTTATATTATATTTATTTTAATTATTTTATTCTTTATTTACATCTATAACTCATAAATTTTAAAAAAATATTATTATTTCAAATAAAATAGATATTAAGAAAAAAATAAAAAATATTTTAAATGCTCTATAGAATAATAATCTTTAATATGAACACAAATAAAAATACCTAATTTTATATTGACATTTAAGACACAAATTAAATGACATAAACTTAAAAAAAAAAATCATAAATACTAACTCACATGCCATCCCATAGTTATTCTGTTGGAAGATTCAACAGGTCCATTTTCAACCCATATATGAGACATAGATATTTGACCTTTCTCAACTTTTGGATTATAAAGGCTACATATCCCATTAACTTGATAAAAAGGAGAATGATTTTGTGGAACAAATGCTTCTGCAACCTGCAAAAATTGAATATATATTCAAATAACTAATCAACTTAAAATATAATTTATAGAATAAACAATTAGTATTGTATAATATCTTACGTGAACACCGGGAATGTCTTTAATCAATATATCATCTAATAATTTTTCTTGAGAAAAATTATATTTCATTCTTTGTATAGGAACTGTTCCTTGTGGACATTCTTCGTTGTCAAGATCAAACATGGATCCGATTTGTGAATTATTCACCAATGTTTTTTCAGTTAAATTTTCAAAGGTGGGTTTTATCTGGAAATAAAGGAACGAAAATTAAAATTTAGAAAAAAAATATAATAAAAAAAGATTGAAAATTAAAACTAAAACATTAAAAGATTTTAAAGTTGAACCTTTTCTATATAATTAAAGGTTTTTATTACCTGGAATCTATGATTTTTTAATAAAGGATGATCAAAGACTGGTTGTTGGTAAATATTAATGCAGTCAACAATGCCTCCAAATTCTGTCTATAAAATCCAAAAAAAAGAATAAAATTAGTAATAGGTATAATGTGATAAAGTTAGAAAAAAACAAAATAATTTAAGAAGATTATAAACTACATAAATAGTCTTGATTGGAGTCTTATCACTGAGGTTTGGTTTTGTCTCAAACTCCAAATCTTCCCTCAAGGAATCTTGAATACCATCAACATTATGACTAATTATCAAACACAAGCACACAAAAAAGAACAATATATTCGTCATCCTTTTCTCAACTCTCATACTTGATAATCTATCTATATATACAGAGCAGCAGTATAGGATAGAGATTCAATAGTAAGTGAAATGACATACTCTTCCTCCTAATTCTAATCCTTGACTATTTTAGAAAGACTAATCAGGTAATAAATTACTTGACATTAATTGGGTAGTAAATGCAATTACTTGTTTTTGAAAAAATATTAATATTTTTTCAGGAACGTTTCTTTCTATCATATTTAATAATGATTATTTATATAAAAAAATATTATTTGTAAGTAGTGGGTTGAATTTTATTACTTTTTGAAAGTTATAATTATTTCATTATTGATTATGAGAGATCTTTTTGATAGGAGTTATTTGACTATTGTAACTAGCTGAATGTAAAAGGTCATGACTAGGTTTATAAAATAAGTGTAATAGGCAAAGTAAATAAATAGATATACTCAACCAAAAGTAGAAATGGAATACTGTCAACACTCAATTTTGTCCGGATAATTTTTAATAAAAAAAATATATATTTCTTTCTTTTTTATGATGTTTACTTCATTTTATTTAATTTCACTTGGTTTTATCGATTATTATGTTTGAGTTGATTTTATGTGATATGATTTAATTTTATTTTGTTAGATCTTATATGATTTTACTTTATTTAATTTGGTTTTATGTGATTTTTAATTATATTTTATGTTATGTTGTTTTATTTGTATTTTTATGTGATCTTAGATTTTATTTTTTACGTTTTTTCTTTATTTATGGAATGATTTGATTTGATATTTATTTTGTTTTAATTTAAATGGATAGCATGTAATTTTATTTGATTTGGTTTAATGCGGTTTAATTTTATTTGATTTGTGTCAAATTTACTTTATTTGATTTTGTCTTCCTTATTTGGATTTATTTCATGTGATTTCATGTGATCTTGTTTCTGTTAGTTGTTTTTAGTTTTAGTTAATTTTGTTTGTTTTAAAACTGTCAGGCCTCAGAAAAAAAAAAAAAAAAAAAAAAAACGAACGTGAGCCCGAGAGCGCGCCACCTCACCGACGCACGTAAAGTCAGCAGCGTCTGACACACGCTAACAGACGCGTGAAATTTAGTCAAAACGTAGTGGGAATTGGCAGAAGGCTGTCAGCGTTAGTGGACGTGCGCTGGCAATGGGAACGCACGCTGGCAAGGTGGAAAAACGGATATGAGACTCTGATAAATCCTCCACCCTCCACACGCTCCACCATTTTCGTTTCTGAATTCTCTTCCTTCTCTCTTCACTCTCTGCACCTTCTCTCTAAGGAACCACCGTTTCATCTCCTCCAATTCTGGGATCCGGCAGCGGAAGGACGAACGTAATCCAAGGCTTCCAGAAAAGCCGTTCGTTTCAGACTGAGCTGGTAAGCCTTTTTCCCCACTCTCTGGTACGTTCGTTTCCGCCGTATGCAAACTCAATTCTGAGTTGTGCGTTCGTCTTTCTCTGAGTGAGCGTAGCTATTCCTGATTTGGCGGTTGGCTCGTTATTATGCTTGGGTTTAACAGCGTTGACGAGCGGAGGATTTATAGTGGAAGAGCGAATTGTGTGCGTCAGTGGTACGTTCGTCATTCCAGGTAGGGAAGCCTTATTTGATTTAATTCATGTTGTGTGGCTTCGTTGAACGTTCTTAATTATCGTGTGGAATATAGCATGATGAGGTGTGATTTGGAGTTGCATGCAACGTTCGTTATTTCTGAGTGAAAAATGATATATATACAGTTTACGTTATGTTTATGAAATATGAGTTGGATATATGGATTTATATGAGATTGTAATTGTACCATGACATGAACAATGGAATTTTATAACTTGTCATAATGAGAATGAATTGAAAAATGATTTTTGTAAGAATTTTTCCCTATGAAAATGCACATCCGTACTGAACGGTCATTGACCGTTCGGTTTTTATCTTGTTTTGGACGAGCGTCCTCTATTCTAAAAACTATGCTTAAGCGTTCGTGCCATATACTAAATTGAACGTTCGTCCTCATCATTGACTATTACTTCTGGCCTAGATCTTATATTGGAACGTTCGATCCTAGTCTTTTATACTGTACGTTCGTCGAATTGTGTGTTCAGTCTTTATGCTGAACGCTCCCTCTAATAAGCGCTCGGTCTCACACTGAGCGTTCGTCCTAATGGTGCTCGGTTTTGAACTGAGCGTTCGTCCAAATTGGCGCTCGGTTTTGAACTGAGCGTTCGTCAAATCGCGCTCGGTTTTGAACTGAGCGTTCGTCCAAATGGCGCTCGGTTTTGATCTGAGCGTTCGCTCTACGTTTGGTGCGCTCGGTCTCAACTAGCGTTGTCCTAAATGGTGCTCTCGGTTTTGAAAGGAGCGTTCGTTCCTAAAAATGAGGCTCGGTCTTACACTGAGCGCTCGGCTCAAAATGGTGTTTCGGTTTTTTATTGAAAACCGTACGTCAACTTCATAATTTACCACGTTCGTTTTCTGATTCCTTACGACCGTACCGTTCATTCATTGAATTTTTCATTAAATTAACGTTCGTCCAATGAAACAGTGTACGTCATGGCAATTCCTGCCGTTCTTGCTCGTATTGCGAACGAGCTGTCTCTTGGTCTTGCTACACAGCGCTTTCGTCCTTAGTCTTATTTCTGGGACAGCACGTTCTTGTTTGATGATTTCCTTATAATGAGAAATGGAGATATGAATTGATGAGTAATGAATGATGAAATGTATAGATCGAATGAAAATGAAACTATGATTTTGAACCGATGGGTTCAGGTAGTGAACTGACTCAGATGAAAGTTGAAATTCGTAAGTATGACTGTGGAATTATGCTGGCTGTTCAATCCTGAATTCCGTGAGGATCGTCCTCAGTACTAGGCGCACGTCTGCTTGGAATGGCAGGAGGTCGTCGTCCTTGAGAGGTACTTTTGGACGGATACGTACTAACCTCGGGTTGCAGTGATGAGAATGCCAGTTAACACACCACCCGGGTGCGAACGTCCTGTAACTACCAGAATATTCATACATGTCCGGTACAGTCCAGTTCGTGTCGAGTTTTATTTGGGCATGCGTTATAATGTCTTGAGGTGTGATAAATTATGTAATGATGAATTGTATGACTGATGCATGAGTTAAATTAAGTAGCTTACCCTTGTTCGTTTCCTTGTGTTTGTCTTTGTCCTTTGTCGTCCGTCTTGTCATTGTCAATGAATCATCCGTGTGGATTGGGAGACGAGCGTTTGGAAGAGGCGCTGAATGAAGAGAACCTGGTTGATGTCGAAGTGAAGACCGAGCAGTGAGGCGCTCGGCCAGTTATGTAGCCAGTATTAGAGTGGTCGTTCGACCATCTTGTCTTGTTATTTTATTCCGATAGACCGTTCGTTATTTGTGCTGTGTAAACCGTTCGGTCAAGTTTCGTGTACGTTCGGCTTTTTCATTTGTAACTCTGAAGACGTGCGGCTTTGCACGTCTGTTTTGTTATTATTGTAAGACTGTACTCAAGGACGTTCGTCCTTGAGCGTTGTTTTGTTTTAGTTGGAAAACTGTTCTGAAATATTATTAAATGTGATTTTCTGATTTTATGGTTTATGCTGTATTTTTGGGATGTCACAAAAACTTACTTTATTTTATGATTTCTTGTGTTTCATTTTTATTTCTATTTTAGTTTTATTTATCTTAATTTGTTTTATTTATGGAATTAGTTGATTTTGATTAATGTGATTTAATTTGGTAGTAATTTTATTTGATTTGAGATTCCAATGTGTCTTCTGTTGATAATCTTCCTATTGCACCTTTAGACATTGCTCCTTTCCAATTATTCTCCAACGTGCCATTCATTGTTCTCCTCAGTCAATCACTTTCATTTCCTAGCCGCCCACTAAGTTTTGCAATCATACTTTCATTTCTCCTCTTCCACCAATTAACTTAATCCTTCGTTTGTTGCAAATAATTTCTCCCATCAACCCATATAATTTCACAAAAAGCCTGAATCAGATCAACAGGAAGCAATCAGGAAGCTGACAGATACCATCTAATTTTATATATACCAATTGAGGTATCACATGGAGAACAGTTCACCAATTTCTACCTTTACCAACCCTCCAATGAGAGTTTGCCGACAGTCTTCATCTCTGTCCATTTAAAGAAGAAGGAAGCCATAACCAAAGGGGGAAGGAGCTCTTTAATTCTCACCTCTCCACTACAAGAATTCCTCTTTCACTCCTTTCATAATCTCCTTCATCCTATATCTCCTAATTATAACCTCTCCATCACCTACCAATTCAAGCTCTTTTCCAGAAACCAATTCTTTACTCATCCATAATCTCTTCCTAATCAAATGGCAATCTCTTTTCCAAAACAAACATTATTCTCCTTCCAAATCAGATTCAATTGCTGTGCTTTCATTCCTTAATTCACCCCTTAATTCAATAAGAAAAAAAAAACCAGATAAGTCAGAACCTTTTCCTTTTATCTATCAGAAATAAACCATCGGATACACCTTCATCCTTCACTCACGGGTTCACACAGAGACCAATCATCCCTTTCAGCTTCAACTCCATCTCTTACCTATTAAAAAAGATTCCAAAGTCATTTCATAAATAAATAAAAAAAAAGCATACTAAGAAATAGAAGAATAGAAAAGAAGAGAGATCGCAATCATGTAAATAAAATAAAACAAAGAAAAAAAAAATCAAACACAAAAAGACAGACTTTGATAGCAGGTACAATGGCTGGCTTCCGGCGAGACTTGAAGAGATTCGCGGTGGAGCTTCAGGTATGATTTTCATTTTGATAGGTTGGATTTGTGGTTTAGGTTGTTTTGCAGATAAAGTTCGAGAGGCCATGATGGCAAAGAGATGAAAGCAACCACCAAGTTCAACGTCGGTGATATTGCCGACTTTGAAGAGGCTGAGGAAAGAAGGAGAAGTTGTTGGTGTCTGGTGGCTTCATGCGGAAAGCAAGGAAAAGAAGGCTTATGTCTTTGCTACGAAGAAAACAAAATGGGAATAAGAAAGCAATTTTATTTTCTGTCATCGGAAACAAAAGAGAATATGGACCTGGGCCCAAGATTCACTAGCGATACCTCTAAACAAACTTGCTGCACCCATCTTCAATGGGCCTATAACACTCATGCGGTACCCTTATTTCAAAATTGAGCTTGGTTCACAATCTTTTTTTTACTACTTGCATTAATTCTATCTCTGTATCTGTTATTAATTTTTATTAATTTTTTTGTTTTGGGTCTGCTTTATTTATTTGTTTCGTATACACCCTTGATAATCCCACTGTGTCTTGTGTCTTGTGTCTTGTTTCATTTTCATTCACGATATTATAAATATTTGGTCTGAGCATTCACTTTTAATAAAAAAATACTCAAAATATAAAATAAACAAAAAAGCCGTGTGAATGCTCGTGCGATCGTACGCATCAGCCTAGTGCTCATTACGTAAAACAATAAAAACGAAGAAAAAGCCGTGTAAGTGCTCCTGCGATCGTACGCATCAGCCTAGTGCTCATTATGCAAAAATTTAAATATTACATAAAAAAAATACCAAAAAAATATAAAATCTTCAAAAACCAAAAACATCAACACTTTCAAGCAAATAAACAATCTTCCTAGCCAGAACGTGATCCTTGATTCTCCATCAAAAGTGGAGATACGTAGGAGCAAGTTTTGTCCTTTTCAGGTTCACTTTCCCAAAAATCCAAATTTATCCATAATCAATTTCTCAAACAATTTTCAAACAAATTTTCAAGCAGTTTTCTAAGAGAACTACGTAACCCTGATTTTTCATTCTGAATGAGAATACGTAGGAACGAGGTCAATCCTTGTCGGGTCCAAAAAAAACTAAAAAATACATTTTGTTTCTTTAGAATTTTATTTTAGGGGAAAGTTAAACATTTTGAAAACCACATCATATTCGCGTATTTAGTTAAAGGAGTAAACCTTAAGGCAGGCGTTGTAGGATGCTAATACCTTCCCTACACGTAACCGACTCCCGAACCAAGAATCTCAGTTTCGCAGACCATGTCTTATCATTTTATGGTTTTTCCAGAATAAACTATGGTGGCGACTCCAAAAAATCTCTTTTTCAAAACCGTTTTTCTTTTTCGGGTCGTCGTCCTGTCGCGATTCCGGTTGCGACAAATACATTTTGCTAAAAAAAATTGTTTGAGGTTTTCTATCTCATGGGTTCTTGATAATCCAAAATTTTTGAGTTTTTAACAAAGGTCTTTCTTTT